CCAACAGAGACATACCATTCCCACACACCTACAGAGACATACTACTCCCACACACCAACAGAGACATACCACTCCCACACACCAACAGAGACATACCAACATACGCGGCCCGTTGGTTGCGCGTGATCTTTGCGGCTTGTCTGGTCATTGACAGCTCTGACAGCCGCATTACGCGTATAGTATCAGCCCCATCCACCGCGTCACTGAACTCAGTGTATATGGGTGAGCGTGTCATTGTCTCCAGGCGCTTAACCTCCCTGTGCCAAAGGGGATAAGGTGTCCCAGATGAGTTCACTGAACAAGATGTGAGGTATACAAATGCGTGTACATGCTATGGCATCAATGTAGAACTATGTGGTGGCATACAAATGCCTGTACATGCTATGGTATCAATGTAGTACTATGTGAAGTATACAAATGCGTGTACATGCTATGGTATCAATGTAGTACTATGTGGTGGCATACAAATGCGTGTACATGCTATGGTATCAATGTAGTACTATGCGGTGGTATATTAACATCCGTGTGGGTGGGTGAGCGTGTCATAGTCTCACAGCATTTCACATCGCTGTGTATGACGTGAAGTTCGGTACGCAAGGTAGTACTCCTATACAGAAATGGGTACGTTTACGGATATATGGAAGGTGAATTTATGCATGAATATATGCAAGATAGCATCCATGCAAGGTGCACCTGTATATGATAATGGCATGGTCACACTCACACAGAGGTGCATTGGTTTATGAATATATCAAAGGTATCAAACAGTATACCAATATGATATATTCAGACTATACACTCATACCAACGTATTACGTTTATAACATACACTCATACCGATGTAATACGTTTATAACACACACTCATATCAATGTATTACGTTTATGACATACACATATACCAATGTATTACGTTTATAACATACACTCGTATCTATGTATTACGTTTATGACATACACATATACCAATGTATTACGTTTATAACAAACACTCGTACCTATGTATTACGTTTATAACATACACTCATACCAATGAATTACGTATATAACATACACTCATACCAATGTATTACGTATATAACAAACACTCATACCAATGTGCTAAATGTAGAACATACACTCATGCTATTGCGTGCCACACACACCCCCACCAATGTGTTATATTCATCACATACACTCATACTATTGCGTGCCACCACCCCCCCCCCCAATATGTTATATTCATCACATACACTCATACTATTGCGTGCCACACCCACCCACACCAATGTGCTATATTCATCACTTACACTCATACTATTGCGTGCCACACACGCCCACACCCAATGTGTTATATTCATCACATACACTCATACTATTGCGTGCTACATACACTTGTGCGTATGGGGATTGTCGTATACCTAGACGCTTGACGGTAGATGCACTGTATCTTGTAGTACACAACTGCCACTGGAATCAGCAGTACACCCACAGAAGGCATCAGCAGGACAATAACTGAGATCATCCCCTGAATTGACACACGTGAGTATAGCAGGAATCAGAAGTAATGGACAATTAAAGAGGAAGGCAGTGTTGGCAATAAAGCTCCATTCCTAAATTTATTCTCTGCAATGGACCATATGCAGATATTGGGGTTAAGCGACAGTGAGCATTCAACGACGATGGAGTGTTGTCGCTACCAACGTATCGGCACTACACGCACATGAACCAGGACACGAGGGTTATGGACAATTAAAGAGGAAAAGAGCCAAATGGGGAGGGGATCACTCTGGTGAATGTGCCGAAATCTTTACAGAGACAAATACATATCGACAAATGGATGGTATATCAATATGCATGTGATTATATGGATATATA